CTGCCGCTTCCTAGCGACCTGTGACTCTAAGGTGTTAACCTGAGTGTCCTCCGAGACGTAGTCCTGCACGTTGTTAGACTTCGTAGGGCTGAGGATACCCATAAACATGCTTGCAATCGTGGTGTCATCCGGCGGAATATACACCGTGTTGCGGCGTACATCAGTCTTCAGAGCATTTTTCGAAGGGGTTTGACGCCCATTCCCATTAATCTGCATCAGAAGCTCCCTATTCTTTTGGGCGTCCAGCTTCGTACTCCGCAATTTCCTCTCGGGCTCTCCCAATGGCTTCAAATTCCTGGGGGGACTAGTCGTGAAGCTAACCTTCGGACGGAACCTTTGAGCCGGCTGGGCTAGTAACGACATCTTGCGACCTGAAGGGACGACTGCTGGGCGGGTTTCCGTTCTCTTTGGGTTAACAGTTTGTATGAAATTCTGTTCACCGTCATCGTGGATAGCGAACGAGCTGCCGGTCTTTGTCCTTCGACGGGGCTTGACTGCCGTTAGAAGCGGTGCTTTGATCTCGGTGGTGAATTCAATGTTGGCCGTCTCGTCACAGTTTTCCGAGCTATCCTCCCAGAGCCTGCTAATCGAGCCATCTCCTCCGCTACTGCGGTCAAACCGAGAGGATCTCGATGGGCACGGGGTGCCGACTTCGCCTAGTAGACCTGACATGATACTGTCCGACAAAGTCTGACTGATGTGAGGTGATTGCAGTGTAATAAACGGTATAAGCCCTTAAAAGAACATGTCTCTGGCAGAATATTTTTTCATCTGAAACAAAGCCTGTGATATCGTGTCGAGGGGTACGTAGTTAAAAAAAGTAAGGGGCAACGCGGGGGCAAACAACCGGTAGTTCTCGGAAGATCGTCGCGTAGAAGGTACGGTTTGTTGATCTGCTATGTTGGATACTAAAATCGTACCTTTCAGATGATAAGGCAAAGGGAGCTAAATCTTTATTGGTTTACGGATGTTGGAACCGTGGATTGCGAGGTATGGAGATGGGGACGCGATGTTGACGCTGTGGTTGCTGGTGCAACGCTATCGTGCCTGAGGCACCACGTCACACTATGGATGTCTCAGCTTGCGGCAGGCTTCTGCCATCGATTTGTCTGAGCAAATATCATTTAGTAATAGAATCACGCGAGTTACTTTGTCAAGGGAGAAGTTAACTGGGTGTGCTCCGAGGGTACAGCGCCTTCCATGGCTTCTGCCTGATGTGCCTCAACTGTTACGCTTTGCATGCAGAGCTCATGATCTACAGAATAGTATGAATATAACGCCCTTCAACAATATCTTTATAAATTTTGAAAGTCCTGCGCTTGTACAGGCATATATTATTAATTTCTTTCCTTCAGAAGACAAAACAACATATTGCAACTCGCATCTAGCTTAAGAGGCTATAGATGCGATATGGTATATTCAGAGCCCTTAATGCTTGACATGAAAATCCAGATCTCATTAATGACCCGGATTGTTTTCCAGCTCAGAGTTCACAGCTGGACTTCAATTGAGATACTCTGTAACTGAGGATATCCTTCTGTATGTAGATAGATTTCCATGCATCAAATACAGTCTCGGATCCTTTCCAAGATTCGTTTTTCGTCTTTGTCAGAATCTTCCCACTCTTTTTTGACCACCTGCTCATGTTTTCGGCTCCTTGGTCGAAACACGGCTTTGACGGAAGAAGGACTACTTTCGTCGCTAAGGTCAGCGTCCCCTTGTACTGATGTGATATCGTAGGCCCAGAGCAGACGCGAAGTAACGATCAGCAAGCTCCCCCGCGCGAGTCGGTGACCGGGGCATATTCTCCGCCCAAAGCCAAAAGCGGAGACTGGAAGATTCGGGTTGTTGAGATATCTATCAGGATTGAAGGCTGCGGGGTTGTCGAAAGTCGCCTCGTCCATATTCATCCCGAACTGATTTGCGACTACCGTCGCGCCGGCAGGGATACGGTAGCCCATGTACTCGTCGTCTTGTATGACCGCGTGAGGAACCCCAATTGGAGAGATAGGACGCCAGCGAAGGAGTTCAGACACGACTGCTCGGATATATGGAAGTTTTTCAAGGTCGTCGGGCGATGGCAATCGGTCCTCGCCGACAACAGAGTCTAGCTCTGCTTGTGCGTTTTGTTTCACCTCTTTATAGAGTACGCATACCATAATTAATATCTCCAAGACCATCTTGGTCGTATGAATACCGGCTACGTAAAGTTCGCCCAGGGCGTAACAGGCTTCTTCCCAGGGGAGCTCTTTGGCTTCGTTTCTCTGAGAGACCGCATGACTCCAGTTCCAGCAGTCGCCCCCAAGTGCAATGTTGCCACATTCGGTATAAACTTCTTTGGTCTTATAATGGAGCTCCTCAGCCTTCTTTCTCCAGGTCAAGAAACAATGTGGGAGCCAGTCGAGCATCGGGAAAAGGTCAAGCAAAATCGTTCCGAAAGAAGCTTTCTGAAGGACAAATGTGGCCATTTCGTTTATTTGGTATAACATCTTATGGTCACTATCGTCCTTTCCTCTCCCTTTTCCGTATACAAGCGTGAACATGATGTCTGAAGTGTAGCTGAGGAAGGCCTCTGAAAAATCATTCGTGGATAAGAACCCATGAAGAAGTCGTTTGCTCTCGAAATCCTGGAGCTGACGATAGGCAATAGAAGCCCTTTCACTGAGGAGCGACGAGCCCAGTCGTCTATGAAGTCTCCACTGGGCACCATATGGCATGAAAGCAGATGCCAGCCCCTTGTGCAAGTACTTATCCAAGAACTTGGACGCGGGCCGCGAGCTGTATATACTTGCTCGCCGCTCCAGTAGGTCTTGGGCTGCTCGACGACTCCCCAGGATGATGAATTGCTGGGCTCCAATCTTTGCGCTCACTATGGAGCCATACTTTTTATTCCATTTCTGAAATGTTTTGGCGATATCTTTCTCCGGAAAGGGCCCGGAAAGTAATGTTGGGCCTGGAGGAAGTGGAAGTTCGGATGCAGTCAAACCGATGAAGCGCCTGAGAGGGGTATAGAGGAATAAAAGCGGCGCTAACAGACAGAGACCGATGATCAGTTCCATATTCTATTCCTCACTCTTATCGAAAAGAGCAAAAAAAAAAAAAAAGAAACAGAGAAAACGAAAAGCTCCGCAGGCTGTAGAAAGTGATAACATGCACTATCTGCCAAAATAGCTGCGAAGCACAAGATTTTCTGGCCAGCTTATAAACGGAGCTGAACCTTGTCGTTGTCCAACCATTTTCATGCACGTCCACGTCAAGCTGCATATACGTATGTGGGAGTTACAATTCCAGCGAAGAGGATAGGTGGATGGCCAATATGGCTATGACGAGTTGGTTAAGGAGCAGCGCTTTAAACATCGCTAAACCTTGGTTTGACTCGTTTTCTGGGTCAAAACACGGCATTTCGGTGAAGTCCCGAATCTGATCCTCGAATGAAGTTCATGATAAAAGTAGAAAGTTGAAATATGCCGATCTTCATTGGACAATCTGACTGAGGCTGACATTCACATAAGGTTTGGGTCTGAGATGCGACGATTGCTCCTATAGCTTAAACAGAGTCTTAGGTTGCTTTGGCGAGATCCTAGAGGTAAGGTACCTTTCAACTGGAGTCACCATCACTGCCGTTGAGATACGATTACGGCGAGTTTGTTCAGAGCGAAAGTTCTCCACTTTTGAGGGATATTGAGTGCCAAATGGTTTGCATATTATTGCTTCATCTGGCTTAGCGGGCCTTTAGTCATTTGGCCCGCGGCTTTATCAGTAAATTAGGTTGGGACCGAGATTCAAGGTATCCATCAGGTTGAATTCCTCCAAAATCTGGTGGAAAAGGTTTCCTGTTGAATTTTAACATGTGGTCTGATCATTATCTTTTGATTCTGAATGCAGGGATGTTTGAAATTTAATTACTCGGTCATGAAAGTTGTTCCGCGGAGAGCCAGTCGGGTTATGCGTCGATATTGTGATGTCTGTCTTAAATTGCTAACTTTTAAGACAGCAAGTAGAGGACAATTATTAAATCTGCCACGATAACAAATAGAAAGGTACAGAGAACCTAGTTTATAGTCAACATGAAACGACAGTTTTCTGCCTAGTGGTGTCGTGGTAGTAGTAGTACTACTAGTATGATGCATGGGCCTCGGCCAACCCCGCCGTCATCCGTCGGCCTTTACAAAATGTGACGGCGGTTACTCGGTATGAATTTGCACCAAGGCTGTTTCATCAGGCATGGTGAGATTTGATGGTGTAGTGAGGAAGGCTTCAATTGGGATATTTACAGGTCTGACTCAGACACACATACAGGGTATATAGAAGGAAGAAAATTATTCCTTTTTTTTAAAGAAAAAAAAAAAAAAAAAACACAGCCTTGTGGTGTCTGCACTGTGGTAGGCAAAACAGTTTACTTAAAAGGGCTTTGACCGAAGAGCCCCGTTGAGAAGGGGGTCAAAACCAAAAACCATAAGTTTGGCCCAGAGTGGCTTAGCCCAGTGGACACATGAACACTGGGCCTTAAACCTGTTCCGAACGGTGATCCGGTCTCCGATTCGACAATCGACGCATCCCAAACCTCCCCTTCCCCAGACACACATGGACCGGATCTTCAACGTGGCTCACTGTGCTTGCACTATTTTTACACTATCCGCCAGGGGTAAAAGAGCCTGGTTTGAACTTGAACCCACACTCGCTGTGAACATTGAATTTCCCTTTGTTTATCGGCGCTCTTTACCCTCCGAAGCACACCTGAACCCCCGATTGTTCCGCAATTGATTGTTGCCTTCAAACACTGCGATCACGTCCGCCACATCACGTTGCTGGACTCTCACTCGGAGATGATCCTTCTATAATCCGATTCCCATTACGCTCCTTACCACTTCCCTTCTTACGCTCCTTATAATATTTCTAATAACACGAAGCCATCGCCGCCGCCGAACAGACCCAGCACTGAGCAGCCCACATTACCCGCCCCCTCCCTATCGGCCAAGCTTACGGCATGCCCACCGATCATGGAATCTCTTGTCTATGAAAACTCGCCTTTGGCGGATTATCTCCAAGGTGAGTTCTTTTTTTCGTTTCAGGAGTTCTTATAACCTCTGGTTTTTCGCGTCACGGAGGTCTAATGCGCAGCAGGGGAGGGTGAGCACGACCCAAGCTGGCCCGTTCAGGAGGCAGAGAATAGCGATATTGCCTCTGAGTCGACAGCAGCGGACTTCGCTCCGCGAGGAGCGTCAAAATTCCAAGAGCGGATCCGGAATAAGCTCCCTAAACCACTAGACCTGAAGTCTTCGCATCAAAGAGCGGCTCTAGGCAGACTTTACGACGCCTGTACGGTATGGGTTCCAATTACTTCGTTGTATCATCCATTATTACCATTAAGCTGATGAGGTCTACAGTCGGCGTTGAATTCGCGGGTTGGACGAAGTGATAATGAGAGGTTTCTGGAACAATTCGGTTATGTCATCGTCGCGTCGCAGTTGCTGAACGAGCATAGCGCCCCGTCTTATGCTTCGGCTGCAGATGTGCTGTCCAGTTCGCGCTTGACAGATCTTCCGTCAATCTCATCAACTTTCGGACTACAGGGTGCCGTTGTCACAGCTTCGACATCCTTCTCTATCGCTTGGTTGTTGCACTGGAGTCGTCCTCGAACGGGCTCAGGCCTGAACCCTCGGAAAGTTGGCGTACTATTAGTCTTAGTGCCCGTAATCGGAGTTCTGTTTTACGCATTCGCTAAACGACAATGGCTCAAGTATTTGCGACATCAAGCTGTGGATGCTGCGGGCTTTTTTATCGGCAACGCTCAAGGGTTTGATTCCGCTGCTTCAGCATCGGTCGTGTTCATACAGGAGGTCGAGCTAGTCTCCAGAGGCTACCGCATGTAAGCTAACCTTCTCTCATTGCCCTTCGGCTAACCGGAGGATCTCAGTAACTAATTCAATCATAGAAGCACGCCGTTGCCTCCCATTTCTAGACTCGAGGATCAAGCGCAAACACGGCGGTGCTTGAGGCTGCGTCGGACTGTGTCGGAATGCTTCTACGCCATGTTGAGACGGTATATTCAAGCACAACGCTCTTTGCAACCTGTCACGGACAACGACAACCTGGCCAAATATTATGACATCTACGACGTCTCGCAGGAAGAGCTGGCAGAGGCTGAATCAGCGCTCGCTGAGCGGGCAATTGAAGATCAATATTCCTTACGCGCTCTTCGCACCCTATTCGGACGGCTATATATCGTGAGGAAGAGCATACTCTGCTGCCTATTGGCTTTGGGTGCTGATGGTGGAGGATCCGACATCGCGCGATGGACCATCGCTATCGAGCAAATGCAGGACCTAGCCGAGGTAACCGGCAGATATACAGAGAAGATGGCCAACATTCTTAATGAGGAAGACAGTGAGTACGAGAGCGAACGTGTCAGAGTTCCCTCTAACCTATCTTTTAGGCAATCAAGTTCCTCGTTCTCCCCTACCCACGGCTTCTCCTAGTAAGGAGCATCTCCGTGCGCAATATCGGAAGCTTAACTCTCTCTCACAGGCAATCCGTGCGCTTCATGCAAAAATGCATCTCATCAGAGAAATGTCTAGTGCCAGTCTAGAACAAACGGATGTTGATGAGAATGACGAGAATGAAGTGACTCTGGCTTCTCACTACGAATCAATTGGAACGGACATTAAAAACCTTCTCCAAGAATGGGAGGATGGTAAAGCCGCCATCATGAGCAACACCCCAGACAAACGATTGAACGTGGATCGCCTTTCGAGGCCATTAAGTGAGTGGAAGCTGCCGTCGTCGCCCACTCCTAGCCTAGGCGGTGCCACGGCGGTGGAAGGTAGTCCAGCCGATGCGCTTAAAGCTTTGAATGGCGAAAGGCCGGATTCCAGCATCATCCATACCATCGATGACGAGGAAGAAATTTTCGAAGCCGTGGCTCTCCCAGCCCGTAGCAAGAGACAATCCTTGACGAGAGAGGAGCGAATCGCTCGGGTCAAAGAAGACCGAGCAAAACAAGCAGCGGCACGAGAGCGCCTTGATGCGAACACCAACATGCTAAAGGAACTTGAGATGGTTATCAAGCAACGACCACCAGCAGTTTCGAAGCGGATTACCAGCATCTGACCTCTCACATACCTCTGCTTCCTCTCTCTCTACCTTCCCTCTTCGCGTCTATAATACCTCCTTGTACCCCTACATACTCCTGAGCCCTGTTGTTTGGAGTGAGCTGTGACAGCTGGTCAGCAGACCATGCAGGTTGATACCCAATGTAAATAGAGTGGACCGGTGTCAATGGCGTTTTCTGGGCTGGACCTTTATCTTTCTTCTGGTGTATTTTACGCTTCGATTGTGTACTCTTTCGTTATTGCTGTACATGTTTTTCTTTCTTTTTTCTATTCTGTATTTCAGCTTGACGCGCTCTTTTGGCATGTTTCATTCTGTATTGTTACTCGCTAACACTGGCCCACTGCCAGGTAATTTCCTATGTAAAACTTGGGAAGCTTTGTATATAGTATATAATCATTCAAATACAAGACATTTTTTGAACAGCTAGTCTGTGGATATACTAGTACTAGGCTTGAATAATTGAAGGTAGTTTTGCACCCTTACGTCAAATCCAGGCAGCAAAGGCTAACCCAAAACGTTCATATCAGCCTAAGGCATGACGCGCGACCCGTGAACGCGTTTCCCCACTACGCGACCTCACCTTGTGAATGGCAATTTCTCCTCTGCTTGAGTTCTTAACTTCTCCCAGTCCACCTTCTACCTGTAAGTCACACAAGAGTTTTGAATCTTCCATTGAACAAACACACTGATATCTCCAAGTTCAATTCTACAATCTATTTGACATTGAACTCCTCACTTAATTATTTTACTTCTCACCATCACATCCATAATCACACACAGATCAAGAGTGAGTTTTCCCACATGTTTGTCACTTTCGCAGAATCACCGTCTAACTGTTATCTCAGTGTTGGAAGCTCGCCTAGAACAAGCCTCTCTCCTCAAGCGCGTATGTGACTATAGTCCCCAGATAACCCCTGTTCTGTCACTGACCCAGTGCTTGATTGTTCAGGTTGTCGACGCTATCAAGGATCTGGTGCAGGATTGCAACTTTGACTGCAATGACTCTGGTATCGCCCTCCAGGCCATGGATAACTCCCATGTAGCCCTGGTTTCCATGCTCCTCAAGGCCGAAGGCTTCTCCCCATACCGCTGCGACCGCAACATTGCTCTCGGTATTAACTTGGTCTCCTTGACCAAGGTTCTGCGGGCTGCTCAGAACGAAGATATCCTTACTCTCAAGGCCGACGACTCACCGGACGCCGTTAACCTGATGTTCGAGAGTGCCGAGACCGACAGACTAAGCGAATATGATATTAAGTTGATGGACATTGACCAGGAACACCTGGCAATCCCGGAGACTGAGTATGCCGCTACCGTTGAGATGCCTTCGGCAGAGTTCCAGCGGATCTGTAGAGACCTTAACGCGCTTTCCGAGTCTGGTTCGTGGACCTATTTCATTTCCTTTGCCCGATGCGTCCAGTCTTGAGACCGCTATTCCCGTGCAGTTACTGACTAGCATTCCAGTTGTCATTGAGGCTACCAAGGAAGGCGTTAAGTTCTCCTGCCAGGGTGACATTGGCAGCGGATCCGTCACCATCCGTCAACACACCAACGTCGAGAAGCCCGACCAGAACGTTACCATTGCTCTCTCCGAACCCGTTGCCCTCACTTTCTCCCTCAAGTACCTCGTCAACTTCTGCAAGGCCACCACTCTCTCCAGCAAGGTGACCCTCTGCCTGTCCCAGGAGGTTCCCCTCCTTGTTGAGTACGGTCTGGGAAGTGGTCACCTGAGATTCTACCTCGCTCCCAAGGTAAACTTCCCATGCTCTCTATCCATTGGAACAGAAGAGGATGCTAACGTGACTTAGATTGGTGACGAGGAGTAAATTAAACAAGAAAATAAAATCAAAACAAACAACTTACGACGAAGGGGCAGGAAATGATTTCTTTGCGGGTTTCTTTTTACATTCGGAAATATCCCACGTTGACGGAACAAAGGATTTTGTTATCATAATATCCCAGTTAGATATGAAGCGATTGTTTTTTTTCACATTTCCATTGGGTACTGGTGGCTTGAATAAAAGTACTCTTTCCTGATGAACTTGGTACACAGCGGGGATACAAAGTAGACTATGCAGAGTTTAACATATCATACGAGCAGCAGTATCAGCACGGCGCAAGTATATATTCCAAGAAAATCATCTAGAGTCAATTTATTTCATTTATAAGCTCTATACACCCCTCAATCCTGTTATACCACCCAACCACCAATACCTAGAAGGGAAAAAAGAGGCAATAGGTCCAAAAAGACCCACCCCCAACAGATTAGCCAGGGACACACTACTCTTTCCAGTCTGACATTAACCACTCACCTAAAAGAAAAAGAAGCACCATCCCAACCAGAATGATCGGAATCGAATTCTACCGTCCCCTCCTCCAAAGAAGAAGAGGGGTACAGCATGCTGCGTATTGCACTAAAGTGTCGCGCGGGCAGTAGCCCGCACACACAATCTTCGCAACGACTCTCCCATGGGGAAACCTCGAACAATGTCCGAGCCCCGATGTTTCTGATGCCAATTGCAGATGTGCGACATCCTCCGACCGAAGTCAGAGGCTGTCTTGATTCACACCAGGCCCTTGCGGGCAGTACCGGCTCCCCATCTCTCGAAAGAGGTGGAGAGCGGGTTACTGGATTTAGGTGAAGATTCCTCCGAATTTCTCATTTGCGGGTGTTCTCGGGCCGTTGGGTCAACGGTCGAGAGATCAAGTTTGACCTTGATCGTGTGTAGCAAAGAAACGCAGCATTGGTTGGGATGGTGCTTGGGGAGAAAGAAAAATTGAAGATGGGGGTTTTGTTTTTGTGGGTTTTTATATGCGGTGGAGCGGGTGGTTACCGCTTGCTGGGTTGGGTTTAGTGGGGTCTGTTTGCATCTACATTTACATCTATACACTACTCAGATAGATGCGGACTTTGCTCTTGGGAGGTGATTGAATATGATTGACTGTTTTATTCTAAGACGTTGATGATGATCTTGTCGCCGCCATTATGTATGCCGATGATTAGAACTGTACTAGTTCCTGGCCCTTGGTATGTTCATAATTGTGCAGCCCTTCTTAATGGGAGGGAGGATCCAAGTAAGCTCTCAAAACTGGTTCATCGATTAAATTCCTATCAAAATACTTATATCTAAGGCTCCGAGACTAGAAGAGGATCTGATTTCCACCATGTGCAAGTGATAACATTCGTTACGGCATTGGTAGTCACACACCGTTAACAGAATCTAACAACAAAGTGATCCACCTTGAATAGAATTTGTTTCTAATAGAAATCCAGCACTGCAGTTACTTTCCAATATATAATGATCCCTACGAAGTTATGTCAACTATTACTACAAGCATGTACCGCGGATAAGACGGAGAAAGTGATCAACACCATGAGCAACTCCGCGGAGTTTTCGATCAGTGAATGTCCAAGCTGACTCCGCGGGAAATAGAAGATGTTCGTTGGCTGTGTGTCCTGGCTTGGTCAACTAGAATGAACATGAACCGAGTCCATTCCAGGTATACCCTGTTGATATACAGCAGTCACCAATGCAAGCAGGAAAGCTTGATACCTAGTATGGATACGAGTATACCATCACGAATGCACCAACGAGAGTCACCGGAAAACGATTACTTCTTACCCGAAAAGAAACCCCGCATCGACGCCCCGCACCTAATAGACTGACAGGATTACGATCAAGTGCTTTTCATAAGCTATGTCGTGACTCATTGCTAGTCTATAAATACTACGCCATTCTCAAAAACCCAGAGTAGTGTTCCTCCCAACGCTATTACGGCAACTCCTCCAACCTGAGAACGCAATGTCCGGAAACCCTACAAGTCTAGAAGCAGATGAACGGGCAGCATACCTGCTAGACGCCCAAAACAAAGCCATCCAGCTCTTTGATGAGATCGAGCGAGATCTCCTGCGCTCCGGCGTGGGTGAAAAGCAACTAAGCGACGAGATCTACGAGCTCGCTCAACGACACGGCGTGCGCACCCACTGGCACAAACGGGTCATTCGAAGTGGCTCTAACACGTTGAAACCCTTTGCTGAGAACCCCCCGGATCGCATCATCCAGCCCGATGACATCCTCTATGTCGATCTAGGACCCGTTTTCGAAGCTTGGGAAGCGGACTTTGGGCGCACATTTGTCCTCGGAGATGACCCGCATAAGAAACAGCTGCGCGATTCGCTCGAGCCCGTATGGAACACGGTCAAGTCGCGCTATCTTAAAAATCCAGATATGACCGGTGAAGAGTTATATGAGATCGCATGTGTGGAGGCGAAGCAGGCGGGGTGGGATTTTGGTGCTGATATCGCTGGGCATATTGTTGGGTCTTTCCCACATGAACGCATCCCAAAGGATAGGGTTTCCCTTTATATTGCTAGCGGGAATAATCGGCCGATGACTTCTCCTGGTAAGGATGGGAAGAGACATCACTGGATCTTGGAAATCCATCTTCATGATCGGGCTCGTGGACATGGTGCTTTCATGGAACAGCTCTTGACTGTGGGATGATGCTAGTTTTCTAGTTGGAGATTGGGCTTGTAGGATGATGAGATGATGAAATATTGCTAGATGTATTAATGACCCTCCTTGGACATAGGGTCTACAATACTCGAGTTCATTAAAGATATGGTCTACCTCGAGATGTTTCTCAACTAATCGTTTCGTTGCATCCGGCTGACAAGTGGATAGAATCCTAGTATGTAACTGGCCGACAAGTAACTGAGCTCTCATGTGATGTTGAAACTAGACCCGTAAGTGATCAATCGGCCATTGTCGAGTACAGTGGAGCTATCGGATCTCTCATCTATCTTAAATGTCGGTTGCTCGGTGGAGTAATTCCACGAGCGCTCTTGCCAACGGGCTATTGAGCCTGTATACAGAATCTCGACGAAGTACAGCACTCTCAGCAGTGTCAATGCCGAAGCGTCTTCCTAATTATTTGAAACTAAGCCTGTCTACTACACTATTCCCATTGAGGAAAGAATCAGGCACTATCAATCAGGGAGGGACACCACTGTGTGGAGTTGAGTACTCCACCGCAAATTACGCCGCGAGGACGAGGTATCATTGCCGAGAAGTTGGCTCTCTGTTTATTTTCAATCCTCCTTTCTTTCCTTACATGGCTGATAGGCTCCCTGCGACCTTCACCATTCCCAACGTCGATCATGGCACGATTTTGGGGGCCAATTATATCAATATCGATCCTGGCCACAGCTTTGCCAGCCTGGTCCCAACAAGTTTCCGAAACTCAGCCCGTTGGCGCTCCTGTCTGGACTAGTAGTGGCCTCATCGAGGGCCATGCAGCGCCTCAGAGATCCAATGTCTCCGAATACCTGGGCATACCCTACGCTACGCCACCAACGGGAGGTCTGCGATTCGCACGTCCAGTAGCATACCGTTCCAATTCTACTGTGCGCGCGAGTACCTATGTAAGCGATATAGCAGTGGAATTGAAAGGAGCTGCTGTTCAGCTAACAAAATAATAGAGTCCGTATGTGGAAATCAATCCTTCAATTGAGGTTACCTGAGCAATAACATATCATCACTACAGAGACTGTCCGGCTAATATCGGGACAACCCCCGATGACTACCCCGGTTTCACTGCCCAGGCTCAAAGAATTATCCAAACATTTGCCCAGCAGTTGGGCACGCCTCAGAGTGAAGATTGCCTGTACCTGAATGTGTGGACTAAACCTGAAACATCTACCTTGAAGCCTGTGCTCGTCTTTATCCACGGCGGTAGTAAGTAGATACCCCTTCCTTTTCATCTCTCCCCAGGGACTGAAATCCTCCAGGGTTCTCTTTAGGTGGTGCACACAGTCCATACTATGATGGACAAATCTTGGCCGATGAGCAGGAGGTAGTGGTCGTAACGTTCAAGTCAGTTTTCTCTATGAATACCCATATCAATCAATTAACTAACAATCGAAAGCTACCGATTGAACATCTTCGGTTTCTCTGGCGCACCCGGATTCCCCCAGAACGTAGCGTTATTCGACCAGCGTCTCGCAGTGGAATGGGTCCATCGCAACATCCAAGCATTCGGTGGAGACCCCAATCGCATCACGATCTTCGGACAATCAGCCGGCGGCGCATCAGTCGACTACTACTCATACATCTGGACGGAGAAACCTCTCGTCAGCGGCCTCATCTCCCACTCCGGAACAGCACTAAGCTTCAAGCCCAACACGCCTGAGGAATCAGCCAGCTACTTCTACCACGTATCCCAAACCCTAGGCTGCGGAAACAGTACCACCAAAACAAACCACATCATCCAATGCCTCCGCCAACAACCCTACAAATCAATCCTGAAAGCCGTCGCCAGAGTGCCGCCCGCATCTTCCCCCGTCCTCCCCCAACCCGTCTTCCACCCAACAGTAGACAACATAACCGTCTTCAGCAACTACGCCGAAAGATCAGCCACCGGAAACTTCAGCCGCATCGTCAGTCCCAGACCCCAAAGTCACCCCCCAACAACAAAGACGCAGTCCATAGCTAACCCTCCCCGATGAAACAGCCATACCTGGTAACCAGCAACGCCAACGAAGCAGGCTACTACCGCGTCAGCGCCTACGCCGCCAACATCTCCCACCCCGACCCCGTCTGGGACCTATTCAACCAAGCCGCCTTCACCTGCCCCACGGGGCAAACAGCAGCGCACCGCGCCGCAGCCGGCGTGCCCACCTGGCAATCGCGCTACTTCGGCGACTGGGACAATCTCCGCCTGTACCCGTCCAGCGGCGCGTACCATGGCATCGACCTCCCCATGGTCTTCGGCACCGCGAGCCAGATCAGTGGGATAGCTGACTCTGAGACGGAACGCGAGTTCGCAAGGTATATGGCGGCAGCGTGGGCTGCTTTTGCGGGGGATCCTGTGCATGGATTGAGTCGGTTTGGGTGGCCGCAGTATGATGAGAGTGGTGAGTTTAGTTTACTCTTTTTCTTTTATCTTGCGATTTGGGATGGGTGCTAATATGATCTATAGGGGAAACGCTTGTGGGCCTTGCTCATAGAACTCGACCGGCGCGAGATTCTTTGTTCCGTCGTCGTTTGAATGGGGCTGTGGGGAGTTGGATGGTGATACCACGCCTGGGAAGGGTGCTTTTTAGTTAGGTTTTGGTGATTGCCTACCTTGTTGGGCTGATGACGGACTGGAGCGTGTAAATAATTATCATCCCATGACTCCCTCGGTAGAGAAATAGAAATCCGGATGCTGTTGAGAACCATTTACTAGTGCCTACTCCGAGGTGAACACTACGCATATACTTCGGTAAACTTGATTAGTATACTAGTAGTAGTACCTACTACCGAAAACAGAAACAGACGAGCCAACCACAGCCCCTAACCCGAAGAACCATTTTCATTGGATATAAATCTTAGGCACTCAGAGTTAGAAGTGTGGTGTGATTATGTATACCTCGGGTGTACGCGTAAGGCAGTGCATAGAAATGGGATGTATAAAGTTATATAATCCCAGGTACCGAGGTGAAGGTGAAGGTGAAGGTGGGGAGGGGTGGGTGGGTTTATTTATCGATTAGTGGCTTTACCCTAGGTAAACCGCCGAATATCAACCAGCATCCTCTTGCTCAAATTCATGTAAATTCACACCTCCACTAAACCGATAACATACAATCGTAACATCCATTATTTCTTTCTTACCGTTGACGAAATGGCCGATTTCTCAGAGTATACTACGCCCATTGAAGAATGGCTCGTGTTGGAGAAATCCCTCCCGGATTTCCCCAAGGGCTTGAGCATAGAGCAGTTGAAGGCGGCGGCGAATTGCGACCGCGAGGCTATGGCTGCGAAGGCTATGGTTGAGGAAGGTTTGTTGTGTTCCTTTTTCTTTTCTAGGTGGTTACGGTGTTGGAGGGGGTTTGAAGGAAGTCTAAGCTTACGGGGGATCTTTTCTTTCTGTCTGGTGAAATAGGTCTGGTATCGCAGGTGTCCATGCAAGATTACAGGATCCCGACGCGCGATGGAGAGTCGCTGGAAGCTCGCACTTACCGGCCGTCGTCGGTGCCTGCTATGCAACGGCTACCGGTTTTTATCTTTTACCATGGCGGTGGCTTTTTCATGGGCACTCTGAGTTCGGAGGATGCGATCTGCTCGCGCATTGTCGTTGCCCAGGTGGCGGCGGGGTCGCCCGTCGTGGTGGTCAATGTGAATTACCGTCATACCCCGGAGTACACGTATCCGACCGCGTGGAACGATGCGGAGGATGCTTTTCACTGGGTCCATGACCATATTGGTGATATCAACGGCGAGGCGGAGAACGTGGTCGTCGGGGGGATCTCGGCGGGGGCTTATCTGGCGGCGTCTTTGACACTGGCGCAGAACATTGGGGAGGATGTACTGTTGGCTCAGAGACCAAAGGTCCGTGGCCAGGTGCTCATGATCCCGGCTCTTGTCACGGAGGACTCTTATGCGTCGCTGATTGCGCGGCTTCGTGATCCCTCCATCTCGAGTTATGTGGACTGCGAACATGCGCCGATTCTCCCCGTCAGCAGGATGCGTTTGTTTGGGCAGTTGCTCAAGCCGGCGGAGAGTGGGTCGGACTTGGGAGCTGATAGACGCATTAATCCGGGGCTTGCGACGGCGGACGAGGTCAGGGGATTGCCGCCTACGACGTTCGGGATCGCAGGGAGGGATCCCTTGAGAGATGAAGGGCTGCTGTTCGCGATGTTGCTGGCCGAGAATGGGTGAGGAGCCCGTTTCGCGTGGGAATACTTTACAGCTGACTGACGGCTCGTGTTTCGCAGGGTGCCTACCGATGTTCATGTCTTCAAAGGGCTGCCACATGGGTTTAGACGGTATGGAAGTAAATTGACGGCATCGAAGAAGTGGGATGAGGTTATGGCCCAGGGTATCCAACATGCATTGAGCGAGCCGGTGGCTGGTGAATTTGTGATTAAGGCTCACTGAGCCTTATGTCGACATGGATTGGAGGTCAGAATTTAGAACATGTACCGTAGCATGTCTTAGAATGCCGCGCGTAGGGCAGGGAAATAGAGAGACTAGTGAGACGCGGGATTTTATTCTCGTTGCTGATCGAGCGATCAATGGAGACGGCGTTCTCCGTCGATAGAGTAATCGGAAGCCTCGGCTTTCGCTGTCCGACCGCACGACGCGAGGGATCGGCGGAATGCTGTAAATAGTAACCGTTGGCCTTCCTGAGGTGCGACAAGCGACAAAAGTCCGTCGAGTTTTCTCATTCTGCACGACGTGGAATGGAGATGATCGCAAAAGGGCACGTCAAGGTGTCATGTTGATTAATTGGCCTGGTTTGAGCCACGACCAGGGAGTCCGGGGTGTGGCTCACCTGAACTGCGGATTCCACACAGCCACAGCCATCGATCCCATTGGTACAAGAGCTGTCAGTCCAGGATTTAGTGGCTTACCCTGTTGACATGGCGATGATGCACGGTTGCGGTTTAGTTCCGTGGAATCACTTTCTTCTTGAAACGTTCCATGTGGAGTGGGTTGTTGGGATCGGTCGTATTCGTCTTGGTAAATGGCCGACCTCCGTACCGAATAACGCCCTACCAAAACCTAATGAGACCGTTGAGATGAGCGAGAGGATTGCGGCTGAGCATCTGGCGTTGAAAATCATTGGTGGTGTCGTCTCTGAGCCACCTGTACTGTAATCTCTTGATCCTTGATCATCATACTGTGTACTGTGTATAGCCACCAACGGCGGTGAACTGGATCCTTTCGCGGACAGCACGCTTTCCTTGGTGGAGAACAACAGACAGGCCTGGTGGGACCGGGCACGGTGTCCTCCGTACTACTACTTCTCTGGAAAGATGCCAAGTATCCTAAAACGTGCCCGTTAGCGAGCACCTAAATATGATGCCAGGAGCTAGTTTTATCCTTCATGTAGCCTGAAAGAAGGAGTACACGGTGGTAAAGATGGCCCCGTTTCCAGCACAGAAGGCCCAAGCGTCGAGTCCCCAGGAGAAAGGGCACTATCGCAGCACTATGGAAAGCTTGGTTGGTAATGATTCTGCTCGCGAAGATACTTTGTGTGATGCCTCCCATTGCTTTTTGACACTGGGCTCGGCCGACACGTGAATTAAAGCTATCACGAGCGTGGCATACGCTTCTCGCAGCTCTGCCAGATGTCCTTGACCGGTATGAGATCCCCGCTCTCGTATGTTGTCTGCAGTAGTTCCAGACCATACACAGAAAAAGTCCCTAGGGACAAGTAAAGGAGGCTATAGATGGTAACAATCATGCAAGTACCTAGAGGGCGCTTTTCACGCGCCGAATTCAAGCGGATTCTCTTGAAGGATAGAGCCCACTCCATCCGGGAAAACACTGCGGCATAGAGCACCATTGGCCTGTGTCGCTTCCGCGATGCTTCCAGTACTGTAACCAATCCACAAAATGTTGATGTTAGGGGTGCTTGTGTGACAATGAAACCCTTTCCTCTCGCGATGTCGTGTACCACATCGGTTGGAGTGCAAGATGTTGGCCTGCCACGTCCACAGACTGGAGAAGATCAAATGCTGTGGATGATTCTCTTGTCTGATGAAAGGTAGTCAGAAAAAACACTGGTGTGCAGTGCTTGAAATGAATCTTTGTTGAGATGCCAGTCTGAGATATCAGACGCCACGTCTTTATTGGCCTGGTTTCAGTGGCATATAGCGGTGGCTTAGCCAAGTGCAGATGAGACAGCCACAGCTGCCGGTGAACAAGGACCTTCGGCTGGCACGGTTTTGGAAATGCAAGTTTTATAGGGATTTTATCGTTGGCATGGTGGCAGATAATGGTGTGTATAACTGGGAGCTTTAATTAGTGGGCGGATTATATAGGACTAATTTAAAGGTAGGTGGATGGCTCCAAGATTTGTCAATATTGATTGTTACATGATTTTAGCTCTCAGTACTCCGTACAAAGGGGAATATGCATACCATATTAATGGAGGTGCAGCAGTTGTCTTATCTCCTACCTTTATTGTGCATGCCGAGTCTACTATATATAGTAGTACGGAAGCGAAAGTAGCATCATAAAGGGACATCAACGGTCGTTCATTAATAGGAACATATGCACCGTACGGAGTACAAAGCCAACAATCAACCCAACCACAACAATGATCTGGACAAGAAGGGGTTGTGGGACGTTGCAGTGACTGCCTACAGTGCCCAGAGCTGTCGCTTGTCTATCTGTCTGCCTAAGGTGAAGACCCATGGAACGCGTAACGACTACTACTAACCGGACTGCAGACAGTAAATAACCTTATAGTTGCCCTATTGATGGGGATATCTACTACTAGTAGTCTCCTCGATCCACACACAATGGGATTGAATCTCTCCTTCCCACTCCGGAGTACAGTTCTGAGGACTACCTGGCCGCTAGTGATGTCTGATCTATCATTCCATTCGCATTGAGGGGCTTTTGGCAGTCCGTTTGTGTTCCCACCAGGGGTTAAACCATGGGTAAACGAGACCGGGGACGGAGTACCCAAGCGGATTAATTAGCCAGAGTCCAGACACAATCCCCGAGAATTCTGGCCCCATCACCATTTATCTGGTCTCCCGTCTCACAGGTTATGATGGGTCCTTGACCCACTTAGAGGAGACACCAGTTCAGGAGAATCGAAGTTAGTGGCCCCTCAGGGCCTTAGGCACCCCGGTAGCACCGGATGTGATTGTTTGGATACATTCCTCCATACGGAGCACTCCGTAATTTAGGAGGGAAAACAGTGAGCAGAGCCTTCCTTGGCTGGGTGGCCTATACTTTGGGACGGGAAGTAAAAATGGTAACAATAGTAAACGGAGACCAAGTTCCTGGCGTAATAAAATGAAAACAAAAATAAAAGAACTATTAATAAAAAACCCAAAAAGAAACATATTAACAGGGTGATGGGTAATTTTTACCGTTAACTGTCAAGTCAACTGAGGCTATTAACTCCATTGTTTTTCCCATAAAAGAAAGAGAGTATCTGTATTTGTATCTAATACACAACTCTACAATTCTTCCGCGTGTCTGGATTGTTTCTATTGATTTTCTGTTTTTCTTCTTTTTTTTTATTCCCGCCCCAAAACCCTGGGATTACCACAAATTCTCAACCAAACCAAACAGAGAGGAGAAAAAAAAAAGTCCCTTCTCCAGACTCCAAATGATCGGTAGTCCTGTCAGTCAAAAGACTGCGTAATTGCCGGCGAAAATTAGAAAACCCATTAAAAAAAAATAAAGGAAACGAACCTCTGGACTTCTCCCGCAGTTTGAGGAACCGACCGTACCTTACCTAACCTCATTCCTCGTGATTTACTGGTATTATTATTCCTTCTCACCCGCATCTAATCGGCATTCCCCTATATTCAAACCATCCATTCCTATCGTCCCTCGTTCGACCACCGACTTTCGTTTTGGAATTCTCCTCCCCCCTTCTCGATCCTCGGGGTTCCAGTCAACCTATCAGTCGCTTTTAGTTGACCCATTTCCAGCCACTCGCTGAGAAGGGTCCTCGCGTGATTCTGCATGTGCTCAGCCTTACACCAGTCCTGAACGATCAATCGGAGTGTGCCTCTCCGCCCAACACACGACCTTTCATCCGTGGCTTGGCGGCCTTCAAGCCTCCTTCGCTCGAAGGAGATCCCCAAGTCGCGCCTCCCCGTCCTCGTTCTCTCTTGTCCTCCTCGGGCCATCTTCCCCCCCGATCATTCATCGTTAGGCTGAAAGAGGCTGTGGAGGCTTGTGCCTCAGGACCCGTCATCGTCGAACCCGCCAGGTTCGAGATCAGACCTCCTACACTGAAGGCCTCCCATAGGATCGTCTAAAATAAAACTCTCCGACCCTCCTTCCCCGCCCGTGGTTTTCGGTTCCTAGACTTCTTTTCTGCGTTTTCGCCGCCATACGGTGGTCAGAACCGTCATATTGTATCCCAGAAGCGAGACTCCGGCGGACACAAGCTCCGTAACGGAGCCTATTGCCAAAATTCAGACCAACAATTCACGCGCCTCCCTTCTTGGGGGTTCATTTGACCCGGCATTTCGACGAGGCGGTGGTTTTCGAGGGCGAGAAGGGTATGCAAATGTGCCTCCGCACCCGAAGAAACGCAAAATGTATCGACCAAATTCAATGTGGACGTGGTCCTTCTGTATTGTGACCCTTTTCCAGGCAGTCGTCACACTCGCTCTAGAATGGTATGTGCTGTTACCGCGATTCCTAGAAAGATATATCGCTGATGCTGACGGGGTGCTTCGTAGTTACGTATTCGCAGACTTCCAACTCAAACTCTATGAAATAGCCGTCAATGTAACGGCATCCAAAACAATTCCGACCTTTTTAGCACTGTACAGTTTCGGTTTCATCTATGAGTTAGTACTGGTCTACGACGCACTGCGCCTTAAGAATACCATTCAAGTCATCGGGCTGTGCGTATGCAACGTTGGCCTGTTGATCTACGGTGCCGTGCAAGTGGAACAAATTAAAGATGCAATCGGAGTTTTGAATGACAATACAGCCATTGACCCGGCTGTGTGGGGACAAATTAAGCCTTTCCTGATCATCATCCCATGTGTTGTGGCCATGGGCACGCTGCTGATGATGATCGTGGCTTGGAAATTATACGATGAATTTGCGTGGTCCATCTATAAGCACATCAGCGCCGATTTGCGAATGAAGCGCCGATACCTCACATACCAGGTTTGTTGTGAACCACCTAGCGGACAAGGAATTCCAACTGATTGAACGGGCAGATCTACATTGCGCTCCTCAAGTTTGACTTCTTCTTTTTCCTTGGATTTACCGTTCAGTTCGTGGTTATTGTCACTAACCGGCACGATGCCGAGTTTGCGCTTACTCTGGCGGCTATCCCGGTCACAATCTTGATTTTGTTAGCTGCCGCTCTTTTCGTTCGGCGCGAAAGTTCTATTGGAATGATCGTAATCATTGTACGTGTTGATCGGTTGCCCACCCTCGAGAGGTCCTCGCTAACTATTATCATAGCTCCTCTACTTTGCTGCACTGGCGTATTTCTTGTTCAAACTGTACCGCATTTACGACAAGAACACGTACCAGGAATACCTCCAAGCGCAACGGTCCTTGACATTTTTCGCCGTCATCACCCTCGTTCTCATCGTTATGACTATTATCAATGCTTGCATGTGCATGCACAACTTCCACAAGGGCTTGAAACCGCACGTGAATAGGAAAAAGGCCCGCAAAGAAGAGGAGAAGACCACAGAGCTGTCTTCAAACATTACCGGCCAAGTGCCCAATCGGATGATGATCGATTGAGCCCGACCATGGTCGTACAATTTCATGATTTCAAGAAAACAACCTTTCGGTTCAATTGTCCATATAAAAACAACCAAGCGCTCTATCGGGACACAGGTATCCATGTTATATGTTTGCGAACCGCGTACAATTCGCTGTTATATGTCGACTTGGATACTGTATTTTGAAGGTGTTTCCGGGATTTGCGATATGATACCTTTTTTCTGCATTGATCGATTTAGCTCACGATTTCCATTGTCTTCTCCGTTTGCTGTCAGGGTTTCCCTTTTACTTCACTTCTCGTCCTCGCCCTTCCACATACAGCCTTATTAAATGGGCGCTGACAGCGTTCAATCGATGATTCCGACACTTGCACTTTGATATCCTTGCTTATGTCAATTTATTTTTTACGACTGTGCATCTCATATGTTATGTACTGTATCTATCACATAATTGGAATAAAATACAGAGGAAGAATATGGACCATTTGGCTTGTAATTTGACTGAAGTAAGTAGGAATGTTGCTATACTTAATACCCCATCAATATATACTGTATCGCCCACGGTATACACCCAGTGCGTTTGCCACAATCTGTGAAGTTCAAGATGACCTTCTCCCATTATGAGTGGGAAGGGGATGCACAGACGGGCAGTGGTTGGTGGAGGAAACTGGGGTAGGTCGGCGTGACGATACGTGACAGTACGGCCAATGGGAAATCGTGAGCGTGGCCTCTTTTGAGTGACTTGCGACCTCAACTCTCTTTGCCAGCTACAACTTAATTCCCCTTCCACTTCCTAGCAGACTTCCCTCCTTCTTCAACCAGTCCATTTTCTTTTCTTTGTTCTTAAATTTAATTTCGCTCAATTCTTCACGACATTCTTTGATTATCTTCATTTGACTACGGTTTCTTAACATGGTGAGTTGTCCTTCGTGAGCCAACTGATCGTCCTTCAGCGGATGGGACTCCTATCATGCCTCGAAACCGCATTGGCTTTCTTCCATCCCCTGATTTTGGATCCCAATTCTTAATGGTGATGCTAATATGAATATAATTTAAGGCTTCTCCTCGTGCTGCTTCCCCCCTGACCTCTGGTGCCGAGTCTGGCCCAGACTCCAAGGCTTCTGGTGCTGGAGCTGGAGCTGCTGGCTCTGTTGCTTCCGTGGCCCGTACCTCCTCTCCCACTCCTCCTGGTGGTCCTCGAGCTGCTTTGCGTCGTCGCGCGGCTGCCGACCACAAGGAGTCTCTGCGCAATGCCAGACCCAGCTCGACTCGCGCTGCCGGTGCCGGTGGCTCTTCCGGTACCATGCTCAAGCTCTACACTGACGAGAGCCCTGGCTTGAGGGTCGACCCTGTTGTCGTCTTGGTTCTGAGCTTGGGCTTTATCTTTTCCGTCGTTGGTTTGCATGGTATGTAACGCCTGAGATAAGTCAATTCGATTCATAATGGATACTAATGTGTGCCCGGTTTTAGTCATCGCCAAGATCACTCGCAAGTTCTCCTCGTGATCAACGACTTTGCGTCTGCTCTCGCCATCACTCTCCTGCCTGCATCGAGCGACATCAGGTTTGACTGAATGAGGTTCTGAGTGAGCAGGGATGGTTTACTATGCATAGCCGGTCCGTGCTCCTGGAATGATTTTGGTCATTCTGTGAGGGTCGCTTTTGGCGGGTTCACTCCCATACTCTCTTCTACCCTTTTGAAATAATATACCCCATGGTGTCCGTTACCTATCCGTTGTCCTTGGTGGGCGGGGATCCTTAGATCGGATCGTCCGTTACGTCGCGAAGTTGAGTGTTGAAAGCCTATCTGCAGTATAGGTTGGGAAGGTGTGCTGGTTGTTATGTTACTGTTGGGGCTGCCTCCAACCCTTGTGACAGTTAATGAAGGATTTTCATGCCGAAAGTTTGGAAGGAAAGCTTTGTATAATATCAGTTGCTTTTTCAATGGGTACATGAACCTTAGAAGTTGATTGTGTTGTAAGCGACGGTAGGACATGTGATATATAAGCCTGGCTATTGGCCCAAGCAGAGTTCTCTGCCTGAGGGACAGGGCTAGCGCGACGAGGACTTTCAATCCACTCCTAGTAAGGAATAAGGAACCCGCCTTTCTGGACATGTTCTATCAGATCAACCCAACTTCCCACTAGTACCGACCCAGGTTTGTATCGACAACGGCGAGATTCACTATTGAATAGAAAAGAGAAACTGGCTCCACTCGGGAAATTTATGACTCCTTCTAGTTTCTCTCGTTCAATCAATCGAGATCAGATCCTCTAACGCTCCCCAGCTTTCGCGCAATCGGCGCCGTGAGGAATGCAGATAATCCATTACTCGAAACCTGGAGTAAGGAAAAGCGTTATCACGCCTAGGGGGCTTGTTCTCTAGCTTCATTTCATTGTTGGTGATTTACCTAAAAGCCGAGACAGCATCCACTATCTTGATATCAGAAAGGCCCGTGTTCCTTATCAACCGTTTGCCGTCTCGGAGCCAATCGACGATGGCGTTCATCCAACCTCCACTGATAAGGATGGGCGACGAAAACAAGACTGGCCAATGATAACGGGGGGATTGAGATCGACTACGATAGGGACCATGAGCCTTAAGGATTGTCAATATACGATGGAAATAAGAAAACCGCGGGCCAGCTCGCTCCATGTGCTGGTCCGCTGTGACGTCGCTGGATTACGAACATGAAGCCCTTATCAGGGTCCCGGAAATTCAGCAACGACAATGACTGGGTTGAGCAGTCCAGAATCCCGATTCAATGGGACTAAGGACGTTGATCAGTCTGAGGGTCTTCTGCGAGGTCGGAGGTCTCCTATGTCTATGGTTGTACTACTTGAGATAGTATATGAATCAAGTCACCCTTCGTTTCCCTACGGATTTTCTTTCAGGAAGTATCAGACGGCCGGAGATCATTGCTTGCAGATCACTACATTGATATTAGTCTATACTGTTATACTTAAATTGGAATTTGATACCCCGTATTAGGGAATACGTGCATTCGGATTGACCATCCAAGGGCATCGTCCGACAAAAGCTGCAGTCATGCCGGAGACAGCCAACTTTGTTGCTCCCTTGTCTCAAGGGTTTGGCTATGGTATTATTGTCGGGTTAGGGTTCGCGTTTGCTTTGGTGATGGTTTTCATTACCTGGGCCCTCAAAAGGCAAGTGCTACATCTCTTTTCCAAGGTAATGCCTTTGATTGAGGAATTGGAGCTAACGAATCGTTCACTATAGATATCAGTACGAAGTCCAAACCTCAGAGATGTTTTCAACTGCAGGAAGATCCGTAAAGTCAGGTTTGGTTGCTGCTGCTGTCGTAAGCAGCTGGACTTGGGCTGCCACCCTTCTGCAATCCTCTGCAGTAGCCTATCAGTACGGAATTTCGGGGCCATTTTTCTATGCATCAGGTTAGTGTAACCGAAGAAACAGTAGGGCTTCATCACTAATGATGTCGATCTCAGGTGCCTGCGTGCAGATTATTTTATTTGCAACGCTCGCCATTGAACTCAAAAGGCGAGCCCCAAATGCGCATACGTTCCTGGAAGTCATCCGCGCTCGATATGGCACTGCTGTCCATGTGGTCTTCATTGTTTTTTGCTTGATGACCAACATTCTTGTCACTGCAATGTTGCTCACTGGTGGATCTGCTGTCTTGACATCCTTAACTGGAGTTAATACGGTTGCAGCTTGCTTCCTGCTCCCCATTGGTGTCGTGCTCTATACTCTCTTCGGTGGCATCAAAGCAACTTTTATCACCGATTATATGCACACCGTGGTTATCATCGTCGTTATATTCATCTATGCGTTCTCCGCTTACGCGTCTAACGAAACTCTTGGATCTCCGGGTAGAGTTTATGATGCTCTGGTTGCGGCGGCTGATCGCCATCCTGTGGAGGGCAATGCTCAGGGCAGTTATCTCACCATGCGATCAAAGGAGGGTGGTATCTTCTGGGTTATTAACCTTGTCGGTAAGTAACTACACGTATCCTTTTGTTGTGGCTTAACGCTAACTATGGTCTAGGTAACTTTGGGTGTGTAGATACCTTGCTGAAACTTAGTTGATATCTGCTAACAGTGTGTTTCAGGACTGTCTTCCTGGACAATGGCTATTACAACAAAGGTGTGTTAAACTCGAGATGGAATGGTGCTATGATGCTTCAGTACTGACTGCGATAGCTATTGCTGCGCACCCCGTACATGCCTTTCCCGGTTATGTTATTGGTGGCCTCTGCTGGTTTGCCATTCCTTGGCTCTGTGCCAGTACGATGGGAATATCTGCTCTTGCTCTTGAAGGCACTCAGCGCATGAGCTCGGAGGACGTAACTGCCGGCCTTGTCCTACCTTTTGCTGCTGTCAAGCTGCTGGGATATAGTGGTGCTGTCTGCACCACACTCATGATTTCATGGCAGTCACATCGGCTTTTTCGGCTCAGCTCATTGCTGTTTCTTCCATCCTGACGTACGATATCTATCAGGCTTATATCAACCCCTCTGCAAAGGGCAAGAGACTAGTGTGGGTGTCTCATATGTCCTGTATTTTCTGGGCTATTGCCATGGCCAGTTTCGCAACCGGTCTCTACTACGCTGGTATCGGTATGGGCTACCTTTATTTGCTCATGGGTGTTATCATCTCCTCGGCGGTGTTCCCAGGCGCGATGACCCTCGTCTGGAAGGCACAGAACTGGGTCGCCGCAGCTGCATCGCCTATTCTGGGCCTCGCCGTGTCCCTCATCGCATGGCTTGTAACTGCTAAGAAGGAATCCGGTGTATTGACCGTCGCTACCACTGGCGCAAAGTAAGTAACCTGTCCTTGACCTTACCCAATAAGACCTCCTGCTAACAAAAAGCCCAGCTACCCCATGCTTGCTGGAAACGTCGCCGCCCTCCTCAGCCCCATCATATTCTCTCCAGTCCTCACCTACATATTCGGCCCTCAAAACTACGACTACGAATCCATGCGTGCCATCCGCAAAGTTGACGACACAGATGTCGCAGCAGCCGCACACGTCGACATCGAACTAATCCCCGGCGAAACCAGTCCCGCCACCATCAACGCCGCCAAAGAGCAAGAAGAAGAGCGCAAGCTCAACAGGGCCGCGCTCTACTCGCGCACCCTCACCATCGGCATGGTCCTGTGCTTCCTACTCCTATGGCCAATCCCCATGTACGGCAGCTCATACGTGTTCAGCAAGAAGTTCTTCACCGGCTGGGTTGTCGTGGGTATCATCTGGCTTTTCTGTACGACTGTAGGAGTGGTGATTTTCCCACTATATGAGGGAAGAGAGAGTATTATTCGTACGGCTAGGCTTATGGCTCTTGATGCTGTTGGCAAGAAGCCGAGGTTCGAGGGACAGGAACAGACTCCATCTGGTGTTGCGACGCCGACGGAGAAAGTGGGCACTAAGTCGGATGTGTAGTTTGGTTGTTTGGTATCCCAAGATTCTGTTTGGGTTGGGATCAGGGGATGCCCAGATGCAGGCCCATCCATACCTACTGATGTGATTGGGATTTTGTGTTTTGCATTGACTAGTATATACCCCATTTGTTCTACGCCGGTTACGCTATTAATATTATTAATAATTCTTACCAATTGAATGCACATATAACATAGAATATAACCCTCCTATATTAAAAAGAAAAAAAGCAAGCAGAGAAAAAAGAAGCAAAGGTATCGTACAGCAACAGAATATACACATCATTAACATCGCTTCTCAACCAGACCAAAGTCCCATCTCCCCAAAGCCCTCAACATGATAAAATAAGAAAAAAACAGGCCAGCACCAACACAGAATCACTTATACTGAAGATTCTGCGGCGGTGCCCCGGCCTGAGGCTGCGGATATCCGCCTCCCCCGGAAGCCTGAGGAGGAGGTCCCCAGTAGGCCTGTGGAGGTGGCGCTGGGCCAGCCGGTGCACCTATCGGAGGCCTAGTCTCTGGCGTGATATCAGGGCGATCACTTATCTGTTGTTAGTTGGTCTGATCGGACAGGGCCTTTTCTTTCTGTGATTCTAATCAAGGGAACCAGCTTACCGTAGGTCTTGGGTGAAGCGACATGTGTAACATGTGACTTCCTAGGGGCTTGTTAGTATTTATTATTCATTGGGTGGAAGCTAAGAATTGGTTAGAGGAGATATTTACCTTGTACTTGTGTGTTGCCAGCGGGATCATAGGCTGGTGGGTTACGGTTCATGTTAGTTAGACATTCTGGCAAGAGCTATTGCAACCAGATCCCGGGTGCAACATACAATAAAGCAGACGGTAAACCAGGGCCTAGAGCAATTAGCAATCAGGCCTATTCACGCATCGAATGTAAGTACGTAAAGAAAAGAAAGGAACATACCATCGCGTAATACAATGTCCATTATAGTGTTGGCCTAATCCAACGTCATGGTTAGTTCGGGTCAGGTACAAAGCTAACCAAGCACCTAGTAGTAAACAAGACCGGAGTAAACATACAGTTATAGCAGTAAGCCCTGACATTTTCGTAGCCTTGCAGCATGGATGTAAACTCTATTTAAACCTGTTAGCCTAGTGCTTATGAAGATAAGAAGGACGTCGTATTTGGAAATCGGCACATGGGAGTTTATTTCCGGAGGATAGATATACACGGAGGAATTAGTATGCAGAGTGCGCTGTACGTACCATGCGTTCCGAACGTGATGCAGATTGCCATGGTGGATAGGGTCTTCGCGGAACCTGGTCTATGATACTATGTGATAGTATGGCTTCTGGTCTCGAGGGTTTATGATCAAGGGGAGTTGAGTTGGTGAGGGTTGAATCCAAGGGCGAAAGGCAGCGTTATTATAAGATCCTTATTGGGGGTGACGTGTGGCGCTGTGGCTTGGCACTTGGCGTTTGGCTGTTCTTCTTTATTCTGGAATGCGTGGCACGTGTTTGGTGGATTTGGGTGTTTTTTTATGACTTGGGAGAGGTAAGTTGGGGATGGGATATAAACATTAGGTAGGTAAGGTGAGTGACTCTCATTTGTGTGTATTCAATACTGTGATAGTTGGTTGGGACGCTCTACAGTTCCTAAGGTACTAACTGTTACGAGACTCTTACTACTACTATATTACAAGGCACTCTGTCAAACAGCACACAACCTGCTTGGTATGACCAATCTAACTCACATCAAGATACAATGGCACCGAAATTGAACCATGTAGGGGTCGAATATGTAAATAAATACCGCTGAAGGGAAAGTAAGATTATGCAGCACCAACTGCCATGACGCCTGATCTCAGGGGCCAGTCCATCCATCATGTCGCGAGTTAAGGCCGATACATCGCCGGCTTCTATTGTATGGCGGTATGCCCCAATTGGCAGTCAAGGCCCCAATCGCCCAAGGACTCGGTCCTCTTTTTATTTCCAACCATGTATGCCAAGGCGTGTTTATTGAGTCTTGAAGAGAAGAATGGCGCAGTGTCCGAGGTAGAAGTAAATGAAGTGTTTCGTCTCTGAACTGAATTAGCAGCGCTCTGGGAGGTTAGTGCACAAAAGTTCGTACCGTGTGTAACAAAGCTTCCGAAATTCCTCCCAACGACACAATGCCATGTAGCTCCTTTGCGCGAGTCAAACTGTAGACTGTGAGTGAGGGGCTGTGGTGTTATCGGAGGAAACGCTGACCTCTCGCTTGATATACTGGGCAATGTCCTAATAATAATTAGCACCCTACCGAGTCAACAAGTAATCGTTGTGACCAACCTTCTCAATGTGGTACTTCTCCATTGCCTCGATCGCTAAACAATTAGTCGCAATCACCTCCGTCGGGATATCCGATGAATCATACCAACTTCGACAGCTTCCTGCTGCATATCCTCCGTCTTTCATACCGTAAGCAATTATACCTCCAATTCTAGTGGCGAGACTCTTACCATATCGACGGACTTGATTTGCGCTGCCCAATAATGTTAGTCATGGTGAAGATGCCGCTGAAGTTGCACTCACGCTCGAGCTTATCCTTCTTTTCGGAAGACATCTTGTCGGTTGAGTGAGCTGGAAAAGGTTCAACAATAAGCAAGTGAGTCAACTGGAGATTTGCGTCTCTAAGGTAGTCCAACAGTACACAGCGTTCCGCCGAATTGCCTCCGGAAGTAGGCGTTGGGCTATCGTGGTTGCTGAGGAGCAACCGTGTGGATACGCACGGGCCACGCCCACTATTCTCACCGCCTTTGTCGGCACTATAAGGAAGCGGCATAAACTAAAAAATTTTTGGAGCTTTTTTTTCTTCGATACATTCCATTCCCTGCTGGCTTTAGGAAAGGCAGCCACAGGACACAATAATGGAAAGCACAAGAGTGTTTGTCTCTGGCCTTCCGCCAACATTCTCCAATGATCAACTTAGGAAGCACTTTGCTAGTCGCTTCCAAGTTACCGACGCTCATGTATTACCCAAACGCAGGATTGGCTTTGTGGGCTTGAAGACCCCCGAGGCGGCCAAGGAAGCTGCTAAATACTTCAACAAGACATATGTCAAGATGTCAAAGATCTCAGTAGATATTGCTAAACCGGTATGTGACCTCTTCCTGGCGATCTGGCTTTCCGCTTCCTATTCCCATTGCGCACGCTGACCGATAAAGGTGGTCTTGAGACTGACCAGAATTGCTTTAGATCGACTCCGAGCCTATCAGTGCTGCTCAAAAGTTTAAGAAGGCTGAGAAGCCTGACTCGACTGCAGAGAATACACTCAAACGTAAACGTGATGGGGAGCTCGCCCAGCAGGACCCTAAGCTGCAAGAGTATCTTTCCCTCGTGAAACACTCATCGCACACAAAGACATGGGCCAATGATGATGCTGTGATCAACCCTGTTGCCAATGACTCACCTGCCAAGGACCCGCCCGTTGAAGCAAATGAGGTTCCTCAGGAACTTACCTATGCTCAAAGGAAGAAGGCAAAGCTCGGGGGGACCTCTGAAGAAGATGCTCATGTGTCACGGCATGATGAGCCTGAGCCGATGGTTGTTGATGCAAGTAAGGAAGAAGATACTACTGAGCAAGCAATGGATCAAGAACAGCCCGCGGTTCAGGAAGAAGATCAACAACCGGTATCTGACGCTGACTGGCTTCGGTCTAAGACAAGCCGCCTTCTCGGTCTCCTAGACGAAGAGGAGCAAGCAGAGTTTGACTCTGCAGCGCAACGGCCCACTGATTCAATGGAGCCAGCAGCTGATGTTGAAGTCGATACCGAAAACGCGGAGGCTGATGCTCCCCCGGCCGCGGATAATACTGCGAAGCCGACAGAAGCACCGGAAGTTGATACAAACATTGAGAACATTCGCATTTCTGCGCGTTTATTTGTGAGAAACTTATCTTACGATACAAAGGAGTCCGATCTCGAACCGGTATTCGCCCCCTTTGGCAGGATTGAAGAGGTCAGTCTTCCATTCTCATTCTGTGCCCCCGTTTGCCTTTCCTTCCCCCCCCCCCCTTTCATGCAAAGTTGCTCGCATGATGAACATCCTGATAGGGACATCAGATGCAAAGCAAATGATGTGACCAGGAAAAGAGAATTTTAGTAGATGCCTCTAGTATCTGAAGAGCAACATATCCTCAACTTGACATTGGATTCACTGTGGTTTTAGATTCGTGGGACAATTGCTGATTTATTTAGATTCATGTTGCCTTTGATACTCGGTTCAGCTCCAGCAAAGGATTTGCCTACGTTCAGTATGTTGAGTCCGATGCGGCTGTAGAGGCCTACAAAGCCCTTGACGGAAAACACTTCCAAGGTCGTTTATTGCACATCCTGCCAGCCGCTGCCAAGAAGACGTATAAGATCGACGACTATGAGTTGTCCAAGTTGCCTTTGAAGAAACAGAAACAGATTAAGCGAAAGCTAGACTCCACTTCTTCAACCTTCAGTTGGAACTCGCTTTATATGAACGTAAGTCAGCTCGGGATGTAGCCCAAGAGTATCGCATATTAACAAGCCTCTCTACTAGGCCGATGCAGTTATGTCGTCAATGGCTGAGAGACTTGGTATATCCAAAGCAGATCTCTTGGATCCTACTTCATCGGATGCCGCAGTAAAACAAGCTCATGCTGAAACGCACGTCATTCAAGAAACGAAGGCTTACTTTACTGCAAATGGTGTCAACATTGATGCCTTTAAAGAGCGAGAGCGTGGAAACACTGCTATCTTAGTAAAGAACTTTTCTTATGGCGTCAAGACTGACGAGCTTAGGAAGTTGTTCGAGCCGTATGGCCAACTCACAAGACTACTGATGCCTCCCAGTGGCACAATAGCTATTGTTGAGTTTGCAAGACCAGATGAGGCTCAAAAGGCATTCAAGGGTCTGGCGTATCGGAAACTGGGAGATTCCATCCTATTCCTAGAAAAAGCCCCTAAGAACCTCTTCGATGCATCTGTTGTCCCGCAGAAACCAACTGTGGAAACCAAGGCCATCTCCCAAGGGTTCTCGACTGCTGACACGTTCGCGGCAGATGAGCCTGAACAGGCTATTGCTACCGCAACTCTCTTCGTAAAGAATCTCAACTTTGACACAACAAATGCGCGTTTCGTTGAAGTCTTCCAGCCGTTGGATGGATTCGTGTCGGCGAGGATCAAGACCAAGCCCGATCCCAAACGGCCTGGTCAGACGCTCAGCATGGGCTTTGGCTTTGTTGACTTTAGGACCAAAGATCAAGCCCAGGCCGCTCTTGCTGCAATGAATGGATACAAGCTCGATCAGCATGCACTGGTAGTTAGGTCATCGCATAAAGGTATGGACGCCGCTGAAGAAAGACGACGTGACGATACTGCGAAGAAAATCGCAGCCCGGAGGACGAAGATTATCATTAAGAACTTGCCGTTCCAAGCGACCAAGAAGGATGTCAGATCACTCTTTGGAGCGTACGGCCAGCTTCGCTCTGTGCGTGTTCCTAAGAAATTTGACCGGTCGACTCGTGGTTTCGGTTTTGCAGACTTCGTAAGCGCTCGCGAAGCGGAAAATGCCATGGACGCATTGAAGAACACCCATTTGTTGGGCAGAAAGTTGGTATTGGAATTTGCAAACGAGGAGGCCATCGATGCGGAGCAAGAGATCCAGCAGATCGAAAAGAAAGTAGGGGAGCAGTTGGACCGGATCAAACTACAGAAGCTCACGGGTGCCGGGCGGAAAAAATTTACTGTAGGGGCCCAGAACGAGGAAGACTAAAGTCCTTTCTCCTTCTGCCCTTCTCCCTGTTGATAGGGTTAATGAATAGTAATGGTGCTGCTATCTTTGTGTTTGTGAGAATATACCCCTTGCTTGGCGGAACACCTTTGGGCTTTTCACACGTTCCTGCTGTCAGGACCGTGCCTGCAGACGCGTCCTGCAAAGTTCCGTCGCCTCGTGCATCTTCATGAAGCTTTATCTTTTTTTATCCCCATGTATCCTTGTTCGATCCTAGCATCTCGTCGACCCCTCGTCCTCGACTGTGATCTTTCGTATGTCTGAACCCTGGATATCCAGTTGAGAGCAGGGTCTGGTCGTTGTTTTCCAACCTACATTCCGCTCGCTCTGTCTGTAACCCCCCGAGCATTCTTCGATGATCGCCTCGGACGATGTTGTTGGATGCTGGGCATTCCAAAGAGAGGCCTTTGCCACTAATTTTCGCCCATCATTTCTCGTCGGTACCTGGTTTGGCTGCTACTAGTCAGTCGTCATGTCGTGCAGGTCAAAAATCCCCGGGCAGCGGCTCGCTGAATCGTGCACCCTGGATGTCCCCTTGCATTGTTAGCCGGCGTCCACAGTGCATCACCCTTCCTCCTGATTTGCTGCAACAAGGCGGCACCTGCTCGTCCCTCCCTCATCGCTCTGATCGACGCGTGAAGCTCAGGTCAAGGGTTCCCCGCGCCGAGGGCTACTGACGCTGCCCTCGAGGGGGAATCGCCCAAACAAGCAAACAGCGTGGTCCAGCAATGTAGCTGCTGGGGCTACCTTCGCGCTCCTTTACTAGGGGAGGGAATGGGTTCCCTATAAACATCATGCTCTTCGCCCGAACATTCTCTTTCCCAGGCTCTTACATTTTTCCCCGTAACTGCGTTCTTTGCCAGGCAAGAAGCATTTGTGACCCTCATCCTACTTTGTGGAATCTGTCATTCTTCCGAGAGCCTATTCGAGGTGATCCGCTCCATGGCTGAGTGGCAGACCGAATGTATGTTGCCTCCAACCCAACCAGGTCTTGAAGGTGTCGGGCCCCATCCAGGTCGAGTGCTTCAGAACACTTCGGGAAACATACAGTCCTACTCCGACACCCTGGCGCACACTGATCCCACCGGGCGTGAGGACCATTTTTCACATTATGGTTTCAAGTATCCTCATCAGCCCCCGGTCCCAACTCACCCAATGCCTACCACCACCAGCCTGCATGCCCAGCAAGTTCTCAACAATCGTTTCCATACAAAGAAACTGCGGCGTCTCCAATCACTTGGTCCTAACCTGATTGGACCCCGCAGGACAAGAAGTTACCTCAAGTCCCCAAAGTACATAGAGTACAGGGCACGGCCTCGCCGAGATACTGGAAAGGACGGGGAGCCCGTTTGGTCAGATGAGCTTGAGGATGCTTTCCAGCAAGGTAAGACGATGACAGCTGCCACACAAAGAGGATTGTCTAACAACATCAGCCCTTGAGGCGAATCCCCCCATGGGGAGACGAAAATGGTCCGAACGCGGAAAATCCTACGGTCGAAATGAACTGATAGCTGAGTACATCTACAAAACTACTGGGAAAAGGAGGTCAAGAAAGCAGGTCTCTAGCCACCTGCAAGTCCTTGATTCTTTTCTCAAGGGTGACCCCGATTGTATGTTTTGCCTAAATAGCTTTGATGGGCAAACCCAGATCTAACCAGGCCTTTGTAGGGGAGAGGCTTGTACGGGAGCAACCAGCAGACCGTTCGAATGGCCAGCCACCATCAGCCGGTCCTCGCTGGAGAAATTCGATGGAGGTCCCATTCTCCAGCCATTACAATAGCCACAATTATCCCTCCTATCATGACTCGTTGAGGCCGGTGCAATCTTACTCCGGGGAGCTGCCCCCTCCACACATTGTTTTCAATCCCAATTTGCACGCCGAGGCAACGAACGTTAATATGATCTATGGCCTCAGCTTTGACATGTGGGTGAGCGCGCCGGGTCAGCCAGAGCGGATCGAGAGTGCATTCCATACCTACACCCGCCTCCAAGGGGACCAACGTCATCCCGGTGCACCCCCAAAACGCTTGGAGGATCTCTCCAATTGGCGGACATCGTTTCCCCATCTCAACTCAGTCATGGCAGATGTTAACAACCCACTGAACTGTGAGATCATCCTCCTGGAGGCCAATCTGAAGTTGATGGATGATTTCCCCCCGTCCGGCTCGAAACTTGGGATACAGCTAGAGCTGGACTTCACCCAGCCTCCTAATGGCGATGCACTGACGAACCAAATGGAGAACTGGTCGTGCAGCACGTATATCTACGAGGAAGGTCACAACATATTCAAGGAACGCCGCAACCTTCCTAGACAGCAGTCGAACAAAGTGAAACCTCCATTTGAATCTTCGTGGTGGGCAAAACGTTTTACGGAACTCACGGAGCTCACCCAAAGCAGACAAGTAAACGACGCTGCTGATAGGCACGCGAGAGACTACTTCCGCACCTTGACGGCAGTCCAAGAAATACGGGCCACTCCTAGTTCTCGTCGGGTATCGAACCAGTACCCTGACAACTCCCAGGATGGAAGCAAAAGAATGGCCATCCTGCTTTGGCAATTCCGGCGCACGCGACCGAACGAAGTTGGCACTACCACATGGCGCCGGGTGACTCCGCCATCCCCCGACCGTAATGCAATCCCTAGCCCCAAGCCCGTAACGGGGATCGACCTCCCTCCCTTGTCCTTCGATGCAAACTCTCTAGCTAGGCCTGCCCCAAGCATTTACCAAGCCCCTCAGTCACACGACTTGGTGCATCATAGTGGTGCCTCGCAGCCTCAATGGTCCATGTACCAACCACCGCAGGACAGCATATTCAATGCAAGCGGAGGTTTTGACCTTCTCAACTCTCTCACTAAGCCAGAGGGTGGCCTTTATGACAAAACTGCCGTCACCTCAGTGCCCGACACCTACCCCAGTCTGCAGCCTGAAGTCAGCCAGCCAACGAGTCTCAATGGTTCTACCGGAGGACCAGGGATGCTTAGCATACCTGATATGTCCCTTTCACACACCAATCTCAATACGTACAACCTAAGTGGGCATGATAATCAGTATGGAACGCCCCATCATCCTGGGGTGAGCCTGCCCGATAACAGCCATGTTTTAAACAATGGCATATTTGGGTCCAGCACTCAATCGATCGATGACATGAGTCAAACTCATGCACCTTGGCCGACTCCTACATCGAGTATCACTGATGTTGGGTCGAGCAACTATAGCCACCTGCAGTTTCCTGATCACCATGTGCCGTCTGTCTCACGAGAATCCCATCCGCCCAACCACTACGGGGGGTTACTGGGCCCAGACGACCTCATAGTGGGGAGTATGCCGGATGATCCTAGTATCCATGGGGCGGGCCATGGCCACATTAATCACACCTATACTGAGAACAACGCGGTTGAGGCCGCATAACGAAGAACTACTGATCACTAATCGGGCTGAAGGATGTCTCTTAATGATAATAATGGCAAACAAAAGTGTCGCTGGCTTTCGGGATTTTGTGTTTTCGTTTCTGGCACCGGAGTTTTGTGGGGGATACTGGAGCATGCCCTGCGGGGGTTTCTTGGTCTTTCTTTCTTTATTTTTTTTTATTTTTTTGGTTCAACTTTGGGATGTAGTTTTAGTCCGATACCAATTCTGTACTGTAGTCATCCATACTATCTAATGTCGAAGGAGTTCAAAGTGCTGTCGTTCATACTTTATCCTTGAGTGATTGGCGGGATTTGGGTCCCGTGAGGGATCATTGGATCCAGCACGGTCAGGGACCAATTGGGTTTGGCGCCGCTCTGCATTTACCCGCAGACTCGCATTTAGCCGGAATGTTATCTCATCCAGCTCCACTTTAGCCTCAAGACAGTTACATTCCTCCTCGTGTGACTGGCCTTGTCGGCCCGGCTGGCCTGGATGGACCAAGTTGCATTTATCCCGAGTGGGTATGGCCGTACCCCAAAACGAGGGCTTTTTGGAAGAATATGCGCGGGGGCAATCCCCAAAAGCTGATCGATGCCCCTCCTTCAACACTCTGTACTCTCCTCCCAGTTGCAATCACGCTGTCGTTCTTCTCGTTACCCGCGATCTCTACACACAATCATCACAATGGCTCCTCCTACCGTCAAGCTGAACAGCGGATTTGACATGCCCCTCGTGGGGTTTGGCCTCTGGAAGGTCAACAACGAGACATGCGCGGATCAGGTCTACGAAGCCATCAAGGCGGGTTACCGTCTCTTTGACGGCGCATGCGGTATGTTACCACCTGCTACTGTGAAGTATTCCGGGAGCAATCTAATACGGTCCTCCAGACTACGGCAACGAAGTTGAATGTGGCCAGGGTGTCGCCCGTGCCATCAAGGAGGGCATCGTCAAGCGCGAGGATCTCTTCATTGTTTCCAAGCTGTGGAACAGTTTCCACGAGGGCGACCGCGTCGAGCCCGTCTGCCGCAAGCAGCTGGCTGACTGGGGCGTCGAATACTTCGACCTGTACATCGTGCACTTCCCCGTTGCCCTGAAGTACGTTGACCCAGCTGTCCGCTACCCACCCGGATGGAACTCGGAGAGCGGCAAGATCGAGTTCAGCAATGCCACCATTCAGGAGACCTGGACGGCGATGGAGTCGCTGGTCGACAAGAAGCTCGCTCGCAGCATCGGCGTTAGCAACTTCAGCGCCCAGCTGCTCATGGACCTCCTCCGGTATGCGCGCGTTCGTCCCGCTACCCTCCAGATTGAACACCACCCCTACCTTACCCAGCCTCGTCTGGTCGAGTACGCCCAGAAGGAGGGCATCGCTGTCACGGCGTACTCGTCTTTTGGACCTCTGAGCTTCCTCGAGTTGGAGGTGAAGAATGCCGTCGATACCACTCCCTTGTTCGAGCACAACACCATCAAGAGCTTCGCCGAGAAGTATGGCAAGACCCCGGCTCAGGTGCTGTTGCGCTGGGCCACCCAGCGCGGCATTGCTGTCATCCCGAAGAGCAACAACCCCACGCGTCTGTCGCAGAATCTGGAGGTCACTGGGTGGGATCTGGAGAAGAGCGAGCTGGAGGCCATCAGCTCCTTGGACAAGGGCTTGCGGTTCAATGACCCTATTGGATACGGCATGTACGTTCCTATCTTCTAAAAATGGACGTTGCCCGCGAGAGATGTGTGATGATCTGCGATATAAAATGTACATGATGACTTGAGTAAATAGCTATGATAACCCATTGACCAAGACCATTGACTGCCTGAATATAAATGACATCTCCATGCGTAGTAATGGTAGCGGAATTCCTTTCGGGGCTCTCCTGCCCAATGGGGGCGAGATGCCTTCTCGGTCCCAAAAGATTTCGTCTGAACGGCCGACTCGCCCACCACCCGTCATCACCCTTTCTCGGTAAAACCGGTACATTGCTGAGATCTGCTGTCCAAGACTTGCCTCAATCTGATCTAGAATTATAAAAATTAGGTGTATGAAGTATACTCCAGTTCCTGATGCCGAACCTAAAGTTTCCCAACTAAAAATCCCACGCCAAGACCAAGCTCCCTTATCAACACTATCAATCAATCCATCAATTAATTATTTCCTGCAACTCCAACTCCTCCGTCAATCCCCCAAACCCCAACCTCAAACCAGCAAAACCCAAGAAAGCAACCAAAAGACCCAAAATGGCCGCCCGCCTCGCAGCACAATCAATCCACATAACCACAACCCCGATACCGCGCTCCCTAACAGAAAGCAAGCAAATCCTTTCCGCGCTCCAGAAATTCGGCGAAGTAGTCACCTTCCGCAATCTCAAGGTAAAGAAAGCTTCACCCACCCAACACCACTCTCTGCGTGAATTTAAGCAGATCCGGGTGTATTTGAAACAATAGCTAACAAGAGAATAAAAAGTACGACACAACAAACACATCCCAGAATCCCGCCTCCCGATCTATAATCGCCATCTTCGAATCCCCATCCTCCGCATCGCAAGCCATCGCCGCCTCCCCACTCACAATCCCCCTCGTCAAACCGCCGCCCCGGCCCCAGTCGCAATCGCATCTACCCCCACGCGAGCCAGGAACGCCCTCCCCGGACCCCTGGGCCTCGAGTGAAAGTCTCGCCCAGTCCCATATCACCTGTACCATCCAGCCGTCGCGCCATAACCATGAGTCTGCGCTGCGGCGGAACCCGTTCCATACGCTGTTTCATGTTAATGGGAAGAGTTGGCAGTCGAGGGATCTGGTGAGGACGGGGATTCCGTTGCGGGAGTTGGCGGATGAGCCGATGGCGAGGAAGAGTCATGAGCCGTTTAGGGTTAAGAGGAAGGTGCAGGCGGAGAATGAGCGGTTGGGGGCTACGAGTTTGATGGCGCTCTATGAGGGTGGGCTCAGGGGCGAGGGGAATGGGGATGAGTCTCATTCTGGGGAGAAGGCGGTTGAGGGTAAGGATACGGAGGTGGATTGAAGGACGGTTTGGTTCTGTGCGCTGAGGTCTATATGCATGGTTGTTGGCTGTCTTGGGCAATGCGATATGCCTGTGCATGTGTGCATTAGGCATGCTCTGGTGGTCCTGTTGGGCGTGGTGTTGCATCACTATCTTTCAAGGCCGATAGTGAGGCTTCCCCGGCGCGATCGTTGGGTGATGCCCAGCTAGTGCCCGTCAGGCTATGGACGATCTGTAGGTTCGTTTCCAGGGTTCCAGCAGGCTCGGAGTGTACCTCCACAAGCGAGGTATGACACCGTGAACACAGAGAACATAAAGCTTCTCTTAATCTACATATAACATAGGAGATTGACAGGAATCTAATCCGCTTTCCATTAACCATGATTGCCATTGTATCATCAGCCATGCCAGTTCTTGTACGGTAATTAAGCTATTCTCACGAACGCTGCAACTGTCAGTATACGCATACACCCGGAAACCTGGAAGACTGCACTTACTAGCGTCGATCTGCATAATCTGCGGTATCGCTAAGCGCACCTTATTCCGGTACACCGCGGGGCCCTTCGTTTGCAACGGGTTGCCCTCAAAGTAGACCGTCTGTAACTTCTCCTTATCCTTCAGCTCCTTCTCCACCTCATCGAAGCTAGACAACTGGTTGTTCGACCCCCAAAGCTCCTCCAGGTTCTTCAAATGCGACAGATGCTCGAGCTTGGAGACCTGGTTATTCGAGAAGTCAAGGACGCGCAGCTTGGTGTTCGATTCGAGACCGCTGAGCTCGGTAATGGCGTTATGAGAAACGTAGAGTTCTTCGAGGTTCTTGAGGGCGGAGAGTCCGTTCAGACTAGTGAGTCGGTTCGACTGAATCGAGAGGATTTTGAGATTCTGCAAAGCATCCAGATTCTGTAGAATGTCAATATATCAACCCCTCCAAACTCCGGGAAGACGACATACCTTGAACTCAGTGATCTTATTCTTCCCGAGCCACAGCTCCTCAAGAGACGTCAACGAGTCAAGGTTCTCGATTTCCTACAACCCAGTCAGCATAAACCCTTCCCATGCACCCATTCTCGCGCAAACCCCAAGCACCCACCCTGATCCGGTTAGCCCCCAGCTCCAAATTCCTCAACACCTTGAACCCCTCCAGCCCTTCGATCTTCGAGATCTTGTTCTGCACAAAGTACAGGTCCGTCAGCTTGACCAGATGCGAGATATTCTTGATATGTTTGATCTTATTGAAGCTCAGGTCCAGACTAGTCAGGTCCTTGAACTCATCCAGACCCTTGACATGCGAAATAAGGTTATCGTAGAGATCGAGCTCGACCAGCGACCCGGCGATTTCAGGAGGAAACGCGATCCGCGATATTTGGTTCTGCCGCAGACATATTCTCTAGAAACCACTCCCCGTTAATCTTGAATCATTACCGCCAACCTCCACCTTCATTCACGGAGCACCGATGTCGTACCTGTACTTTATGGAATCGCTCTAGATGTAAAGCAGGGATGGACGCAATACGACAATGGACGAGGTCGATCTCCTAGATTAACAACTCACTCGGTCAGTTTCACCTCACACCGCATGAACCAGCAGGCAAAAGATCCCACGCACCTCGGTATCCTTATCCTCATCCTCTAGCAAGTCTACAGCAAGAGGTTCTCGATAAGCACCCGCTTCCAAAACCGTAATCGGTAGGAAAAAAAAATACCTTCGTCGGCCTCGATCTCCTCCACCGGCGGCGCATCCTCATCTGAGTAATCCGGGTCCTCGATTGCCTCCGGATTCGTGATGGTTGCCTGAGAACCGACTCTCAGTTTTCCATCCCACCCTTTGCTATCCTTCATAGTGGCTGGGAGGTATGTAGATTCGTTTCCTTTATTATATCTTTTTTTTTTCTGCGCGTGGTTGGAGGTGGTTTGATGCGGGGAGCTTTTTTGGCCGGTGGGTCGAATGACGGTATGTATGTAATTTTCGTACGTATCTTGTAATTTGTAGATCGGTATCGATGTACCTAAT